TAGAACAGATGAATGAAACCCAGAGCTGGTTCTTTGAAAAGATCAACAGAATGGATAAACCTCTTGCCAGACTCATAAAAAGAATGACCCAAATAAAAACCAAAATAACAAATTAAAGAGAAGTAACAACCAACACCACAGAAATATAAACAGCTGTAAAAGAATATTATCAAAAAACCTATATGCCGAAAAACAAACAAAAACAAACAAACAAACAAACAAACAAACAAAAAACTAGATGCAGGGGTGCCTGGGTGGCTCAGTCGGTTAAGCATCCGACTTCAGCTCAGGTCACGATCTTGCGGTCAGTGAGTTCGAGTCCCGCGTCAGGCTCTGTGCTGACAGCTCAGAGCCTGGAACCTGCTTCGGATTCTGTGTCTCCCTCTCTCTCTGCTCCTCTCCTGCTCGTGCTCTGTCTCTCTCTTTCTCTCAAAAATGAATAAATGTTTTAAAAACAAAACCTATACGCCAAAAAAATTGGACAGCCTAGAAGAAATGGATCAATTCCTAGAAACATATAACCTACCAAAACTGAAGCAGGAATAGAAAATTTGAACAGACCGATTACCAGCAATGAAACTGAGTCAATAGTCAAAAAAACTCCAAACAAACAAAAGTCCAGGATCAGATGGCTTCACAGGTGAATTCTACCAAATATTTAAAGAAGAGTTAACACCTATTTTTCTCAAACTGTCCAAAAAACAGAAGAGGAAGGAAAATATACAAATTCATTCTATGAAGCCAGCATTACCTTGATTCCAAAGCCAGACAAAGGCTCCATTAAAAAGGAGGATCACAGGTGTGCCTGGGTAGCTCAGTCGGTTAAGCGTGTGACCTCACCTCAGGTCGTGATCTCACCACTCGTGAGTTCGAGCCCCCCGTCGGGCTCTGTGCTCACAGCTCAGAGCCGGAGCCGACTTCCAGTTCTGTGCCTCCCTCTCTCTGCCCTTCCCCCACTCACACTCTGTCTCTTTCTCTCAAAAATAAATAAAAATTTTTAAAAATTTTTAAAAAAAGGAGAATTGCAGCCCAATACCCCTAATGAACATAGATGTAAAAATCCTCAACAAAATACTAGCAAACTGCATCCAACAAAATTTAAAAAAAAATCATTCACCACAAATGGGATTTATTCCTGGGATGCAAAGGTGGTTCAATATTCACAAACCAATCAACATGAAACATCACATCAATAAAAGAAAGGGTAAAAACCATATGACCATTTCAATAGATGCAGAAAAAGCATTTAGCAAAGTACAACATCTATTCACGATAACAACAACAACAACAACAACAACAAACCCTGCAAGGGGTGCCTGGGTGGTTCCGTCAGTTAAGCATCTGATTCTTGATTTTGGCTCAAGTCATGATCTCACGGTCATCAGATCAAGCCCCATGTCAAGCCCTGCACTGAGTGTGGAGCCTGCTTAGGTTTCTCTCTCTCCTTCTCTCTTTCTCTGCCCCTCCCTCCTCACACAATCTCTCTCTCTCTCTCAAAATAAATAAACATTAAAAAAAACCTCAACAAAGTAGGTTTAGAGGAACCATAACAAAGATCTTATAAGAAAAACCCACAGCCAACATCATACTCAATGCGGAAAACCTGAGAGCCTTTCCTCCAAGGTCAGGAACAAGACAAGGATATGCACTCACCATTTTTATTCAACATTGTACTGGAAGTCCTAGCCCCAGCAATCAAACAGAAGGAAATAAAAGGCATCCAAATTGGTAAGGAAGATGTAAAACATTCACTACACTATTTGCAGATGACATGATACCATATACAGAAAACCCTCAAGACTCCACCAAACAACTACTAGAACTGATAAATGAATTCAGTAAAGTCACAGGATACCAAATCAATGCACAGAAATCTGTTGCATTCGGATACACTAAAAACAAAGCAGAAGAAAGTGAAATTAAGAAAATAATCTCATTGACAATTGCATCAAAAATAATAAGATACCTAGGAATAAACTAACCGAAGAGGTGAAACATGTGTACTCTGAAAACTATAAAACACTGATGAAAGAAACTGAAGATGACACATAGAAATGGAAAGACATTCCAGGCTCATGGATTGGAAGGACCTCTATTGTTAAAATGTCTATACCACCCATAGCAATCTACACACTTAAGGCAATCCCCATCAAAAAGCCAATAGCTGGGGCGCCTGGGTGGCGCAGTCGGTTAAGTGTCCGACTTCAGCCAGGTCACGATCTCGCGGTCCGTGAGTTCGAGCCCCGTGTCAGGCTCTGGGCTGATGGCTCGGAGCCTGGAGCCTGTTTCCGATTCTGTGTCTTCCTCTCTCTCTGCCCCTCCCCCGTTCATGCTCTGTCTCTCTCTGTCCCAAAAATAAATAAAAAACGTTGAAAAAAAAAATTAAAAAAAAAAAAGCCAATAGCATTTTTCAAAGAACTAGAATAAATAACCCTAAAATATGTATGGAAAAACAAAAGACCCTGAATAACCAAATAATCTTGAAAAAGAAAAGCAAAGCTGGAGGCATCACAATTCCAGACTTCAAAAGATTACAAAGATGTAATTAAAATAGTACGGTACTGACACAAAAATAGACACACAGATCAACAGAACAGAACAGAAAACTCAGAAATAAACCCACAATGATAGGGTCAATTAATCTATGACAAAGGAGGAAAGAACATACAATGGGAAAAGAGACAAGTGTCTTTAACAAATGATGTGGGGGAAAATTGACAACATGCCAAAGAACAAAACTGGACCACTTTCTTGTACCATACACAAAAATAAACTCAAAATGGATGAAAGACCTAAATGTGAGACCTGAAACCATAAAAATCCTAGGAGAGAGCAGTAACGTCTCTGACATCAGCCCTAGAAACATTTTTTCTAGGTATGTCTCCTGAGGCAAGGGAAGTAAAAGCAAAAATAAACTATTAGAGCTACATCAAAATAAAAAGCTTCTGCACAGTGAAGGAATCAACAAAACTTTTAAAAGGCAATATTTTGACGGAAGAAGATAATTGCAAATGGCATATCCGATAACGGTTAGTATCCAAAATATATTAACACCCCAAAACCAAAATAATCTAATTTTAAAGTGAGCAAAAGACATGAACAGACATTTCTCCATAGAAGACCCACAGATGGCCAATGGACACATGAAAAGATGCCCGACATAGCTCATCATTAGGGAACTGCAAATCAAAACTACAATGAGATATCACCTCACACACGTCAGAATGGCTAAAATCAACAACACGATAGGTAACAGGTGTTGGAAAGAACAGGCGAGAAAGGAACCTTCTTGCACTGCTGGTGGGAATGCAAACTGGTGAAGCCACTGTGGAAAACAGCGTGGAGGGTCCCCCCGAAATTAAAAAAGCTATGATCCAGCAATTGCACTACTGGATACTTACCCCCCCCCAAAAAATACAAAGACACTGATTCAAAAGGATACATGCACCCCTATGATTATTGCAGTATGATTTACAAGAGCAAAATTAAGGAAGCAGCCCAACCGTCCATTAACAGATGAATGGAAAAAGAAAAGGTGGCACGTGTGCACACATACATACACACACGTATACACACACGAGGCGCAATACTCCTCAGCCATAAAAAAGAATGAAATCTTGCCATTTGGCACACCATGGATGGAGCTAGAGAGTATACGCTAAGTGAAATAAGTCACAGAAAGACAAATACACACGATTTCGCTCATAAGTGGAATTTAAGAAAAAAATGAGCAAAGGAAAAAAGAGAGAGACCAAGAAACACGTTCTTAACTATAGAGAACTGGTAGTTACCAGAGGGGAGGGGGTGGGGGACGGGGCAACAGGTGATGAGGATTAAGAAATGCACTCGTCACGATGAGCACCGGGTGATGTGCAGAAGTGTTGAATCATTCTATCATACACCTGAAACTAATATAGTTTACTATACTGGAACTAAAATAAAAACGTTGATAAATTTTTTGAAAAAGACTTGTAACGAAAGCAAAGAGAAAAGATTAGGAGGCAGGTGTTAAGTAGACAGTGCGGCCAAAGGAGGCCTCACTGAGGGACAGCGTTCAAGCTCAGATCTGAGCGGGAACCAACAGTTTCCGAGCACAGGGAGCACATACGTAAGACCCCGAGACAGGAGCAGCTTGGTCATGCTCGAGGTGCTTGAAGGCCAAGGGTAGTCACCCGGGATTCAGTCAGAGCAGTACGCTGGAGCCCGATCATGCAGGACTCTAGCAGGAAGGCTGTGTTTTCCTCTGGGTGCAGCGGAAAGTCCTTACCACGTATAAACAGAAGGGTGACATGTGGCTCAGTTTATGTTTTTAGACTGCGGGGTAAGTCTGTGGAGAATGGATTATAGCACAACAGGAGTGGAGACAAGGAGACAAGTCTAGGAGGCTGTCACTGAGGGACCGGCAGGAGAGGAAGGGCTTGGACCAGAGCGGTGGCGGCAGAGGGAGCTTAAAGCCTGGGAGATGCACCAGGGAGGTCGAACTGGTTTTTGACAATTTATCTGTCAGCTGGGAGGGAGAGAGCGAAATCAAGGGTAATTCCGGCCGGGCGGGTGGTGCAAAGATGAAGAGGACTGGAAGTGTCACACGTTCTGGGTGGGAATCAGGAGTTCGGGCTGAGACTCAGGTTCGGTTTGAGAAGTCTGAGAGGCACCAGCGCCCGCCCTGGCTCTCGAGCCCCAATCAACAGAGGCCAACAAATCGGGCCCCGCAGGATCTCGAAAGAGCGCAGATCCGAAATTCGGTCACTAGACTTAAGACATACGTGACCAGGTCTAGTTCGTCTCTAATTCTAAATATGGGTTCTCCCATCTCTGTTGCCCTCTTCCGCTGTCCCTGGGCCTGCGTCGGCAGCCTATCTGGTTCTCTTGCTGCCTTGTCTTTCCAACGAACTGAACGATAGGTTTTGCGGGGCTGAATTGTTTCTCAGGCGATCAAGCTCACCTCCCATCGTTTGGATTCTCTACCTCACAATAGGCGAGCCCAGGATTTCCCCCCGCTCCCCAGTTCCATGCAAAGGAAGCCTCTCCTAGCTTCTAGCCCACGCTAGCCCACACAAGCACCAGGAGGCATTTAAAGACAGGGGCAGGTCATCTGTGACCCCACGGACTTCGAACGGTCACCCGAAGATAAGCGGACCTAAAAACCTGGAGCCCCCAAAGAGCAGAGGAGCCTGCTGACCATGACGGGACCTCACCTTCCATACTACTCACCAGACCTGGGGGGCACCTGGGTCATGGGGGACAAGGATGGCTTCACAGCCCAGGAGGACAGGGGTCCGTGTCCCGAAAGAACCAGCGGAACCGTGAGGACCACGCTGTGGCCAGAAGACCGCGCTCTCTTCCCACACACTACGGTCCCCTGGCAGAGCACTTTTTCCTGGGGTCGCCGACCCAGACCTGAACACCAGAGAAATCCGTCAGGCCACCGGCAGAGGTCTAGCCCCAGGATACCACACGAGGAAAAAAAACGTGTTCAGGGAATCCTACTCTCTTAAAAGCTGCCCTGCTGGCCTGTCAAGTTTATGACCTCAGAATCCCTGACTCCTCCTTGAGGAAACACTTTAGCTGAACACTTGCCAGCCTGGCTGCCTGTCTGTTTCTGTGCAACGAACAACTTTGTGGTTCCTCACAGGTTCGGTTGGGACTGTAATAAAAAAGAAGAAAAGAAAAGAAAAGAAAAGAACAAAATCAAATCAATCACTAATTGGAAGAGATTAAAAAAAAAAAAGTCTGCCAGAGAAAAAATCAGGTTTATTTCAAATTTGCTTTTCTAGTTTTGAGAAATGTAAGGCTTTAAATGTTTTTTCCAATAGGTGGAGACTAGTTAAATTACAGCATCACTCAATAAATTCTGAAGGCTGCAACAATACAGATTGAAATATTGTTTCAATATTGAAATATTGAATTTCAATATCAATATTGAAATACAATTGAAAAATTATTTTTCCTTTTCTAATCCTTCTGTATTTATCAGTATTTTCCTAATAAATTTGCATTCCTATTATAACAGAGACATTGTTATTGTTTTACCTTTTTTAAAAAAAAATTTTTAAATTTATTTTAAGTAGGCTCCCTGCCCAGCTTGGGGCTTGAACTCATGACCCTGAGATCAAGAGTCAAATGCTCTACCAACCGAGTCAGTCAGGCGCCCCTATTTTACTTTTTAAAACAAGTTAGACACACATTCCTCTGAGTTCCTATCCATAGCCCTGAAGAAATAAATATAATTTAAATCTAAATGTTTTACAATTATCGTCAACAAAAGGTTAGTAGTGCTACTTATACACGAAATGTTATTTCTGTGAATTAAACGTGAGTCCAGAAGAACTGAATTTGTGGTCAGAACACTGGGATCAAGGCACCTGAGTGGCTCAGTCCATTCAGCATCTGACTCGATTTCAGCTCAGGTCACGATCACCAAGTGTGTGGGATCAAGCCCTGTGTCAGGCTCTGCACTGACACCACGGAGCCTGCTTGGGATTCTGTCTCCCTCTCTCTCTGCCCCTCCCCTGCTCATCTTTTCTCTAAATAAACAAACAGTTTTTAAAAAATTTATGGAGCATAAATTATTTATGGAGCACCTGGGTGGCTCAGTTGGTTAAGCGTCCAACTTCAACTCAGGTCATGATCTCATGGTTCGTGAGTTCAAGCCCCGTTGTGCTGACAGCTCAGAGCCTGGAGCCTGCTTCGGATTCTGTGCCTCCCTCTCTCTCTCTGCCCATCCCCTGCTCCTGCTCTGTCTCTCTCTCTCAAAAAGAAACAAACATGAAAAAAATTTAAAAAATAAAAATAAAAATGTTTATTTATTTTTAAAACAATAAACTGGGATCAACAATTAAAAAAAATTTTTGAGGGGTGCCTGGGTGGCTCCATCGGTTCAGTGTCCAACTTTGGCTCAGGTCATGATCTTGCAGCAGTCCGTGGGTTCAAGCCCCGCATTGGGCTCTGTGCTGACAGCTCGGACCCTGGAGCCAGTTTCCAGTTTCAGATTCTGTGTCTCCCTCGCTCTCTGCCCCTCCCTGACTCGCACTCTCTCTCAAAACTAAACATTAAAGATTTTTAAAATTTTTTTGAGATAATCGTATATTCACATGCAGTTGTTAGAAATGATATGGAGAGATCCCACGGAGTCATTACCCATTCCCCCCTTGTGGTGGTAACACTGTACGTAAGTATGAAATAAGATCACGCCAGGAGACATATGTTGGCACCAGCCATAGAGCTTACCCAGCTGTCCCCAATTTGATATACATTCACGTGTGTGTGTGTGTGTGTACATCTAGTTCTACAAAATTTTATCTCACGTGTAGACTCACGGGACTGTCACTGGCCCAGCTTCAGAAAATTCCCGTCACTGCGGCTCCCTGAAGAGCCACGGCCGCCTCCCACCCTCCTGCCCGAACTCCTGACAGTGGTGATTAACTTTCGGTCAAGGAACAATGACCACCCCCCAACGTATAAATCGCTGTGCCGAGCACTCAAGGGCTGTGACGGAAATATAAATAAGCAGTATAGCCTAGTGACTTGGAGGAAGGGTGGGAACCAGACTAACTGGGTTCAAATCCTGGGTGTGTCACTTACCAGGTGTGTGACCTTGACAAAGTACTCAAGCTCTATGCCACGGTTTCTTCAATACGACGTGGCTAATAAGAGTACCTTCCTGGGTGATTACGAGGACTCAATGAGTTGGTATTTGTAAAGCAAGAAGAAAGTGCTGGACACGAACAGATGCAGGTTATCACTCAGGAACTCACATTCCCGCAGAGAACATACAAGGCTCTCAGGTCAGCCTGTGTTGAGCGCGGTCAAGTCAAGGCTAACCCAGCACAGTGGGAGGACGCCGCTCATTTGGGCTGTGGAAAGTTGAAAGTTGAGATGGCTTCACAGAACAGAGACTATCTGGGCTGGGCTTTGAAGTATGAGTAAGACTCTGACAGAAATAAAAGGGAAGGATGGCGTTTCATGCCTATAAAATGACACCATCTGTGGCCCTGGGGCATGAGGTGGCAAGAGCCATTCTGAGAAAGGATGAGCTTAGAACAAGAGCCTGTGAGGAGACTGGGGGGCCAGGGGAAGGTTGGGTCCAGGTTCTGAGGCATCTTGGATGCCATGCAACAGTTACTGCTAGAACCTCACCATCCTGGAGTAGACTGGCATGGCACAGAAGTTTCTCCAAAGTTCTGGAATACTGGGAAGAGAGGCTCAGAGGAGAAAGTACTAACTAAATCACAAAACACATGCAACGTGGTTTATTATTACTACAGGCTGATTAAAAACAAGCAGCAGCAACCCCCTCTCTTTCTCTTATGACTTTTTTTTTTTAACCTTATTTAAATCCAAGTTAGTTAACATAGAGTGCAATAAGGATCTCAGGAGTAGAATTTAGTGATTCATCACTTACATATGATACCCAGAGCTCATCCCAACAAGTGCCCTCCTTCATGCCCATCCCCCACCCAACACGCCTCCAACAACCCTCAGTTTATTCTCCGTATTTAAGACTCTCCTGGGGCACCTGGGTGGCTCAGTCGGTTGAGTGACCAACTTCAGCTCAGGTCATGCTCTCACGGTTTGTGAGTTCGGGCCCCGTGTCGGACTCTGTGCTGACAGCTCAGAGCCTGGAACCTGCTTCGGATTCTGTGTCTCCCTCTCTCTCTGCCCCTCCCCACTCATGCTCTTTCTCTGTCTCAGAAATTAAATAAACATTAAAAAAATTTAAAAAAAAAAGGTCTCTTACGGTTTGCCTCCCTCTGTTTTCATCTTACCTTAGCAACCCCACGTCTTAAACATGGTCCCTGTTCTTGGTAGAAGCATAAAATCTTGAGTGTTTGGGGCCCGGGGGTGAGAGGTTATGAGGCTAACTCATGCCGGCACCTGTTTTCTCCCTGCCAGGGCTGTCTCCCTTCAGCCAGGTGTTCTCAATGCCCCTCACCGGCGACCTCAAACCGTCCTTTCCTGGGATTTCCAAAGGAGGCCGCTGGGCACCACCCATCATCAGCTTGGTCGTCATGGGCCCACAGCGTTCATCTGATCATCCGGCCCTTCGCCCTCTTCAGGCTCAGGGCGCCCTGGTCCCTGAACCTGTGACTGCTTCCAGCTGCCCTCGGCCCCCCGCCCCCACCCTCTGCCTCGGACAGGTGCCTCGCCTCCCGGTTGTTTCCGGGCCCTCACCGCCCCGTGTGCTGTGACTGGGCCCTCTCCCTGCCCAGGGCCCGTTCAGATTTCTGTCTTTCACAACTTTACTCTTGCCTCTCTGGTCCCAGGCCTGCCACGCCTGGGCGTGGCAGGGAAGACAGGAGCAAACGACCCTGTTTCTGCTTTGACATTTCTCTCAACCAGCCACCTTCTGGTTATCGTTCTCACTGTGGAAAGAGAAGAAGGACAAAGGAGTCTTGTTCTCCTCCAAGGGAAGACAGAGATGCTGGACTAAATGGCTCTTGATGAGAGGGTGAGTGGTGGTTTAGAATTTGACTCCAAAAACTAAGAACCACTCCCTCCAAGTAAAAATAAAAAACCCCGCCCACTAAGCCAGGTGAGCATATGAAGTTGTGTGACGATCACAAAGATGAAATCTAACCAAACAAGACTTAGAAATAAATATTCCCAAGCGCTCCTCAAACAACACGTTCTCGCCCTCCCTGTGAAGAGTGGTCTTCCTGCCCTTGGTGCTGGAAGGGGGGCTTGAACGGTACTACAGGTAAGTGGACTGTATCAGGGGGAACTTTTAACAGCATGTATCAGCAACGCTACCCCTTCCCAAGGAAACTCACGAAGATGTTCTTCTAAGCCTTAGGAGGCCAAATTCACTTGTAGCCATTAGAGCAAATTTTCATGTAAATCAACAAACGGCTACGTTATTTGTAAAAAAAAAAAAAAAAAAAAAAAAAAAGCCACGCAACAGCAAGCCAAGAATATCAACAAAGGAAGAAACCTTAAATTTTTCTAATGCAATACTCCAAGCCCAACAGGTTCAGCGATTTATGTGTTTAGAAAAATGCCAACATCTCCAATTCCCTTAAACACAAACACTTTGGTACAATTAGACCCTGAATCTTAAGGGTGGCGTTCAATCTGTGGGTGATTTGAGTCTTTGCTTTTCCAACCCTCGCCCAGGCAGAGGGCGACCACGCAGTGAGAGCAAACACAACATATGTGATAGAGAAGAATGACTTACTCTTAGTTTAACGTAGTAGGATAACCCATTAACAAATTAAGTGTTCCTGGCTCCTAGCTGCCAGACACTTCAGTGAAGGTGAAAAGGTCCTTTTCCTCCATATAAGCCCCCACCACCTGCTTCCTCCACTCTCCCCTCCCAGGATGATTTTAATTGACTTTGTTTTTGAAAGGTCTAGCAGTGTCTCAAACTCTAACATGAATAAAAATCACCTGAGGGGCTTGTTACACTGGCTATTTCTGGGTCCCTCTCTAGACCCACCAATTTAAATTTCTGGGGATGTGGCCTGAGAGCCACATTTTAAACAAATTCCCTAAGACATTCGGATCTAGGGGCACCTGGGTGGCTCAGTCAGTTAAGCACCGGCTTTGGCTCATGATCACAGTCCGTGGGTTCGAGCCCCGAGTTGGGTTCTGTGCTGACAGTTCAGAGCCTGGCACCTGCTTGGGATACTGTGTCTCCCTCTCTCTCTGCCCCTCCCCAGTGCACGCTCTGTCTCTATCAAAACTGAATAAACGTTAAAAAAAAATTCTGATCTAGGGAAAGGTTAGGAACGCTCAGAACAGTGGGTCAAAGAGTAAAACTGGAGTACTTTGGCACAGGAAAGCAGGTAAGCTGAGGCTGAAAGAAAAGGGCCAGGATTTGGAAGCCTCCTGTCCCAGTAGGGAGACTGGTCTTGACCTCCTGGGCAGGCAGGGACCACTGCAGGGTTTTAAGTAGGGCTGGGACAAGGTAAGGTTTGCAATGAACCAACCTCCTTTTAACCTTGAGCTCACAGCTCCTCTGTCCCCCTCACCTTCCGTGCTCCCTCCATCCTAGGCCAGGAAAGCTCCCTGCTCCTCTGTGCTCCTAAGAACCTGTGTGCACATCTAACTCACCACTGACCACACTGGATTGACACAGTCCACTTACCTGGAGTGCAGTTCAAGCCCCCTCTCCACCAGCGAGCTTCTGCAGGCAAGGAACGGACTTGTGCACAGTGGCTGGCATACAGCAGGTGTCCCATAAATGTGTAATCAAGCAGACTATTGGGCTCCATTTACAACCGTATCACCGTTCTGATTTTTCCTGTAAACTCACTGCTCTGCACGCCTTGGTCACGAGGCCTCCAGTGCTCCCTTTCTGGCTGAGAAACTGGGCCCTATTTCTAAGCCCCTTATTTACCCGAGAACATTAGTCTGTAACAGGAGTCAGACTGAAACATCAGACTCCTGTTTTCATCATACAGTCATGAGATTAAGCCGTTTGATTGTTTCTGTTGCAAAAAGAAGGAAAGCTTTGGCCCCTCTTCCAAGGCGAAGTGTACAAGCCAAGCCCCTCAACGGAACGGGCGCGCAGGGAAACGGATGGATAGGTGATTGTAGCAGGAAAGCACGTGGTGTCCAGAGTCTTTTAAACCCTTAACGCAAAACACCTGGAGCTTGGTCTGGACCGCACCCCCCCCCCCCCCCCCGAGGCCTCCGGCGCGTGTGTGGTGGTGCCCCGGCCACGCCGCGAGTTCGGTGCGGCTTACCCGGCAGCGCGGGCTCCTTCTTGCTCGTCGTCGCCGGAGGCCAGCTCTGTGCTCTCGGGCGAGTGGAGGGGTGGGGGTTCCGGGGCAGCCTCGGTGAGCCGCGGGGACGCGGACAGCCCGGCGTGGGGCGCTCCCTGGATGAGCGCTCCAGGGCGGGTGGCCTTCCCCCAGTTTGCACGGAGGGCCCGGGGCCGAGTCACCGCCGAGCTCCCGGGACCGTAGGCCAGCCGTCGGGGGCAGGCGGCCCCGGGGCGCGGAGGCGCGGGCCG